AATATCCAAAAAAATTACAAATTTAAAAATCGCTAATTTTCGAAATTTTTTCACTTTTTTTTCTTAAAACTTCCATAACTTTTTGAAAAATCAACAAATCAACATAATTTTTTTTTATACTAAAACCTTAGATATTTACCTTTCATTTGATATCATTTTTTTGAAAATCTATCACTTAACCTGCTCATTGGGGGGGATTTAAAATGGCAACTTTTTTACAAAAATTAATTTTTTCAACTTAATTTTTGAAAATGTTCCGGAAAGACTGCGTCCTTTAAACATATATCAAATTAAAGCTTATTTTATGTACTACAAAATGAAAAAAAAAAATTTGTCCCGACACTTTTTTTTCTACATTTAAACGGCTGCCGTAGTTAAAAAAACACTATTTTTGTGTTAAAATTTTCGATTTTCGATTTTAAATTTTCAACTTAAAAATGCTATAACTTTTCGAAAAATGTATATATCAGCAAAAATTTTTTTTTTCTAAATACATTATAAGTACATCTTTCATTTGACATACTTTTTATTAAAATTGGACAATTTCCCCTTATATAGGGGGCGTTCAAAACTTAAAATATTGTAAAAAACATAGATCTTTTTCAACTGAACTTTTGAAAATGTTCCGGAAATACTGCGTCCTTTAAACATATATCAAATCAAAGGTTATGTTATATACTATCAAATGAAAAAAAAAAATTTGTCCCGACATCTTATCTTCTATGTGCAAATGGCTGTCGAAAATTTAAAAAAAAATGTAATGTTTGCGATAAAAATTACATTTTATCGGGATGTTTTTTGTACTTAAAACTGCCATAACTTTTTCAAAAATGAACAAATAAAAATAATATTTTTTTGTATTGAAACCTTAGATATTTCCCTTTCATTTGATATAATTTTTTTTGAAAATCTAACACTTATTCTGCTCACTGGGAGGATTTAAAATAGTAACTTTTTTACAAAAAATAACTTTTTCAACTGAATTTTTGAAAATGTTCCGGAAATACTGCGTCCTTTAAACATATATCAAATCAAAGGTTATGTTATATACTATCAAATGAAAAAAAAAAATTTGTCCCGACATCTTATCTTCTATGTGCAAATGGCTGTCGAAAATTTAAAAAAAAATGTAATGTTTGCGATAAAAATTACATTTTATCGGGATGTTTTTTGTACTTAAAACTGCCATAACTTTTTCAAAAATGAACAAATGAAAATAATATTTTTTTGTATTGAAACCTTAGATATTTCCCTTTCATTTGATATAATTTTTTTTGAAAATCTAACCCTTATTCTGCTCATTGAGGGGATGAAAATTACAAAATNGTATTAAAATATTAAAAATAAATTTTTACAGGAAGTCAATATAGATCTACAAAGAATGTAAAGATTATAATATTATTAATTTATAAATAAGTTTTGAATACATTAAAAATAATACAGCCAACAATTTTTTTGTTAAAGTAATAAAGTATTTATTCATTGGAAAAACGTATTGGCTGTATATTATAAGGTTTTTTTTTCAATGTATTTTATTTATATGTAGGTAATACATTCAATTTTAATTTAAACCAATCCATTCAATGTCCATTTATTTAATACAGTATATGAATTAAAATAATTAAGTATGTTATGTTTTTATTTTTGTGTAATATAAATTAATATAGATCTATAAATATAGACGTTTAAATTACTCATTGCTAATTTCAAAACTAAATAAAAAATACAATGTTTATTTTTTAGTAAAAAGTATTCTATATTTTTAATAATTTATTCATTATAAATGACTGAAAATTGACATCTAATCGTTTAGTATCCTTAATAAAATAGAAACAAGGATAAGTAAAGATGTTAAATTTAGAAAATTCAAGCAAGAAAAATGTCAATCGAGCACTTCACAGGTCACCAGATATTCTCTATCCTTTGGGGTTGATGTGATTAAAATTATTTTACTACAAAAGCATTTCCAACCGAGTTGACACGTAAAAGCCATGTACCTACCTATCGCTCGAATCAAAAACTGAAAAATCTCATTCATTCTAGAGCTCAGACACACAATAATATATTATCCCCTTAGAACTTTCACGCATTGCGGCATATGATTCCGCGAATAGAACAAGTACCCTTTCTCCTCTCAATCTATGTTACCTTATCATAAATGCGATTTTACTACAAATGGAAATCCATGAAATCTAATATCAAACACATTTTCTTCCGCTCTAATTGATGATAAGTTTTAATTTTTATATTACTACGTGTTCAAATAGCGCGCAAAATGAACCACAAACTTTTTGCAGAATCTCGTGTATATTCAGTTAAATTTGTTACGAGATATAAATTATTCATGGCTAATGGAGTTATAATTTTAGTTAATTTTTTTACTTAGTCTTATAAAATTAATGATAGCCAAGAATAGTAAAGAAATATAAATATTACTAAAAAAAAAAAAACAATTTATATGTTCATTTTTTTTTTAAATTCCAAAAATATTTTACTAAACTAAATTTATTAATTTAAGTTTAAGTTAGAATAAATATAGATATAATTCTATATATAAAATTTAATTAAACTTAACTTAAAATACTTTTCACAATTTAACTAGATTTATAACTCACTGAAGCATGCTATATCGAGCGTACAAATTTTTTATCGTATCAACTAAACGTCACATTACTATTAACAGAAACTTTCATTTTTTCTACTGGAATGTATATATATGATTTGTTGGCTCTTTTATGTTTTTCTATAAGCGCATGTTTTATTACCGATTTGTCTGTATCGACTTTCAAACAAAGAAACATTATTAACTATCCGCGCACTAAATCAATACTGCATGTAGTACGATTAATGGGCGCTTTACTCAGTAAACAAATACGTTTATGTACGTACTTTAAAATAATTGTATTAAAATTATAATACAAAATAATACTGATGAATATTTGATGAAAAATTAAAAGTTATTATGTTCTTATTGTTAATATATCTATTAATATTATCATTTTTAAATAAAACCAATGCGCTTTCACTTAAATTATAATCATTATGCAATTATCATTTGGACCTTGAACTATAATCATTGACGGGTTTAAAGCTGTATCAAACACCCACGCAGTTATTGGAATTTAGAAAATTAGATACACACTGTTTTAATATTTAAAGCTAACTAGCCAACTAGTTTACTCAAGAGCATCGTACATAGAGTTATCAATACCTAGTATAATGGAGCAACAATATTTATTGTACTATAAAGATTCTTAAATTATTCCACTGATTTGATGAATAGCCGTATGAAATATTCAATTAACATATTAAGTATACAAACTTATTATAAAAATTAATAATAATTTTTATAAAATATTAATCGTGTTTAATATGTGGTCTTTTTAAAATAATTTTATAAAATGGTTTCGTAAGAAGATAAGTTTTTATTGATTAACAAGCCAGACAATATATTTTTTTTTAATAACGTTATAGGAATGTTGTTAAAACGTTATTTTAACTTATAATGTTATAAGAATGTTTCTATAACATTACTTTTCAAAATTGCTGTCTTGAAATATAATAGTTAATAATGTAAGTGTCGGCGACCATATACTCCACAATTTGGTTTATCTGATGATAGACGATTGATCTGTTTGTTCTGGCGCAGTTGTCTTTGATAATTGAGTTCTATTCTTTTTTTCCCAAACACTTTTTTCTCTCATAGTAGCTTTCTTAGTTACTATATCCATAAAATTCGTATACATAGTTTTTAAATCAAACGTGACTCCCTAATTAGTTTGTCTTGCATTTTTACAGCAATCATTCCAACTATGAATACATCACGTAGAACAGTAGTTAATTTTAACACTAGGTTTTGGAGACGAGCCCCTCATTCTGGTACTGTTTCACCAGTATGTTGTTTTGCCAGATAAAATCTATGTCTAGTCGCAAATCGATTTTACCGACTTAATTATAATAAATTAATTTATAATTTATATTAACTAATATTAATATGAATTAAAATCACTATATAAAAAATGAAACATTTCCACGTAGGCAAATTGTTGTGTAAAATTTGAAAGACAACATAAAATTATTTAAAAATAAAGTGAGTGTTTAATGACTAACAACATAACAATTAATGATGTTCATACCTGTGATCGCACTCGCGCATAGTGAACAATCGTCACTACTGATATATACAATAATGATATGACGCCATTTAGGTATTTGGTACTCTCCCACACGCCCGTTAACAGCAGAATATGTTTCTAGACTATGAACTGTAGTGTTACAGTTTAGTTATGCTATTCCGTGTATGCAATTATGTCAGCACACAACATACGTATACTAACATACACACTATCTATTGACTAAAACTCACCTTTTCGTTTTCATGACATCAGCATTGATCAGTATTATCAATTATTTATTAGTAGAGCTAAAGGAAATAGTGTGGTAGGTTATATCGGTAGAGCACTCGTTTCCATAAGGCGATAACAAATTTTTTTAGAATATGTTGAAACCTTAGATATTTTTTTTTCATTTGATATAAATTTTTTGAAAATCTGACTTTAAACCTAGAAAAAACATAATCATAAAAAGAAATGAAAAGTAAAATTTTTTTCTTCAAGTTTAATATTCAAATAAATTTTTAAGTTATTTATGTTGTAAAATTACATATATAATATCTATGAAATTTGAACAGGCTCCATCGAAGCGTTTTTTATGATAGTATAGTTAAGCACTGTTAGATATTATTTATATTTCTACCTCCCAATTTTGCCTCTTGCCCGCTGTACTGGCTTTTTAGTTTAATATCATTGGAAAAATATACTAAAATGGATTATTATTTTTATCTCAATATTAGAATTCAACTCTTTATGATAAATCTGTCAAATTCAATTGTTTTATAACTGACTTATTAACTCATTAGTTTTAATATTTTAAATATCAGTAAAACTTAGTTTTCGAGTAGTCAAGCAAAAATAAATGTATTATTATGATTTTATTTTCAGATGTATCCGGAACATCAGCGTATTATGGAAAGTATTTAGGTCCTTTGAAATCTTATCATCATGGGTTAGGCGGAGATGTTTATGCTGTAGATGCTCGGACATTACATATAAGAAATTTTGTATACGACGGAGACGGACCAGGTAAGGTTGTTTAAAAATGTTATTATATACTTATCTAATTGTTAATACGATACAATTTCATAGCAATTTTAGGTTCAAATAATTTGATATCATAATGCTTAAAATATTTACAAATAAATAATACCTACATATTTATTACATATTACCTAGATATGTTTTAATTAATAAACAATTTTGGTTCAAATTTGTAAATAATTAAAGAAAATATCGCGGAATCAGGCTCGGTGAAGCCTAATTATAATTGAAACCATTAAGGATTAAAATCTGACAGTGATTATCATCACTAACATAAAAAGCTTTGTTGCAAAAGTATTTGAAGAAAATGATATGAATTATTTTTTGGAGGAAATGGAGATTATTTTTTTTTTACTAAGGGGTCGAGATTTTTTGGTAGAAATGGTAGCAATAGTTATCCAAAAAAAATTAATTTATTTTTTGACCCCCGTCAATTTTATAGAATATTTTTGCCTACAACCGTTTTAACCTGTACTGCTCCAGTACAGACAAATAATTTCCTCCAACTTATTCGTTAAATAATAATCATATAAAAGTATAAACATTATGATACTAAAATTGGAGAATATATTTGTTCCGACTGTTTTAACCAAATATTACATTTTTAAAAACTAATAATATATTTAAATTTAAGTATATTTAGCTGCGATTAGCTTTAATTTTTATACAGGTTATAGATAAAGACGGAGAAGTCCTAATGTTTATGAATCTGTAGTATAGGATTACACAAATATGTAAAATAAAGTTCAATACAGAATAAAACAGTACTGCCCGAATCGAAAGTTATATTTAAATATTATTTAAACAAAAGAACAGTAATAGTAAGAATATATTGTTAGTTGAAAACGCATTAACGATTATAAAAAAAAGAAACACAGTTAATTTTGAAATAGTTAAATTAAAAAGGAGTCGAAAAGACTAAGGAGAAAAGTTGGCCAAAGACAGTATTTTTTTATAATATAATTAAACTAAAATGAGGGGTTCTTATTAAGAAAATTATAATTTGGATTTTTAACCCTGAAAGTATGAAAAGAAAATTATTTAACCTTACATAATGATAGAGTTTATTGAATCAAACAATTTTTTTCTTTACAAAATTTAAAAATTTTGAATAGTTTCCCAGAAAATGAGTGTCTTATGGTATAAAAGTATTATACATTAAAATTTATTTTATTTATTTTTATAACAATGATAGAAAACAGTATATAAGGAAAATATATAGATAATAATAATAAAAATTAATAAGACTTGTTAAGCTATTTCAGCAAAACAATAAAAATTTAATTATTATCAATAGTAATTAAGTAATTAGAATATGGGTAAAGTAGAAAACTGGCAGCTAGCAACAATTAAACGTCAAAATTTCTAATCCATTTTATGGATACTCGAGCGGAATTGAAGATATCCTTGAGTACAACATTGAATTTTCTTATGGGACATTCCGTATGATATGATCTGGCATGAATGACCAAACCTATTTAGGTGAGTTTTGTCTCACCTAAATAGATAGACACAACCTAGGTTTTTTTTTCAAAACACTAGGTTTATGACTGTAGACTTGTGTTAAAAAAACTCTGTACTAAATTATACGCTTATGAAGTATCTTCTCTTCTTAAAATAGAAATGTCAATCAATATGTATTCATGAAAAATTGGTCAATTGAGACTAATTTTATTTATTTTTAGACCGAGTTAGTTAGATACTCTAAATAGATATTGTGTATAATGATTTTAGTAAGTCTTTTGTTTCAGTTAATCATACTTTACTCATTTCTAAACTAAGTTCAATGTATTGTTGAAAGTGTATTAGATATCATTTTAACCTGTTTCAAATTTTCTTTTTGTGATAGATTTTAACAAATTAAAGTCAATAGTCATTTATCCAAGCCATTTTAAATTTTATCTCTTTTATATTTATATTTAATTTTTCTTTATCCGAAAATATATGTCTCTCTTACTCAATAAGTGGGCAACCGTTTCTCTTTTTTTTCAGTAAGTTACAAATTTCTTCATTTAAGGCAAAATTTGATTAAATTATTTTTGCTCCCTTCCATAATTTACATTTTAGCAAAACAAACTAACAAATATTTATATATATTTTAGCTGCCTATTTTTATGGATCAAACGGAAAACAACCAGGTATCAATGGTCTCAAAATTCGAGACGAAAGTGGATCGTAAGTAAACAATTGACCATTATTTTGGTAGAAATATAAAACATTTTGTTTAAATAATTTATTCGAATAATGCCATTACTAGAACAAATCCATTAAAAAAGTATAGTGGCGACCATTTGACAATTACTCTACCCGAAGGTTTGACACTACACGATATCAAGTGGTTTTATGTATGGTGTGAAGACTTTGCTGTGAGTATTTTTATTTTTTATTCTATTATTTGTGTATATTATTATACTATTCTCATTGTTAATTTTATATAAATGCTAAATTCACTAAGAGGGAGCAATGAGAGCAAATGAAATGACCATGTTCATAATATAACTGTTATTTTACCAAGAGAAACTATTTATTATACATTCATATTATCGCCGTGATAAAAAAACAACTCATATTCTGTTTATAATATAACGGTAGCGTGGCAACTACTGGACCACTTTCTCCCCGTCAAAATCTCATTCACATTAATATCGCCTATTAATATGTAAAAATTAATCTAAACTATATCAAATAAATCGGAAACATTAATTTTAAATAACTGTATTATATATTATCTTTTGCGATTTACATAAGATTTTTTGTTTACTGTAATGATAACTAGTTTTAAACGAAACCAATTAATTAATTAACCATGTACATCAATATAAATAAGAAATAAAAAATCTAAATCAATAGTTTAAAAAAGTAATTATTAAAAATAAAATGTATAAGAGATCTGTTGTTACGAAAAAGTTCTTAAAAATTCAATCAGTATTTTTTTATCTAAAATTATATCAATGATATTTCAATGATATATGATATTTCCTACGCACACTTTTTTGTGTCAAAATTTAGTTAGATTTAAATATATTTTTGACATCTAATAATTATTTATTATTAATTATACAGGCAATAGCCCAAAAAATACAATATGTATTAGACAGTTAACTGGACAACTTAAAATTATCTAATAACTAAAAATGAAAACATTGATAAATAAACTTAAGCTTGACAAAGAGAAAAAGAAAAATTTTAACATAACCAAAAATTTAAATATTAAGTAGAAAGGCTACTTTATAATATTAATTGAAATATGGCTATATGATTTATTAGTTTATAACTTTCATAAAAAAAATTTTTTCAAAATACTATTGTAAAGTCAAGTAACTAAATTAAAGTTTAAAATGATTTAAGTAAATATGATTAAATAATTTTACTTTACTCATGCCTATACTCTCTTAATAGATTATACAAAAAAGTTTTTACATATTTAATATTGTCTAATACACCCAAAGAAAAACCTCAATCAATTTTGATAGAGAAATTTTATCAAGGGTTTATGATAATGTTTTATTAATACGAACAAAATAATTATTCTTATAAATAATTATTGTTCAAGACAAGAAAAAAATTATCATATTGATAAATATATCATAGATTCAATAGTAATGATATATTTATCAAATTGAACAATGAATTTATTATATAGATCGAGATTTTTCTCTGGGTGTATATGCAATTTCTATGTATATAATTATTTGCTTATAATTAGTTGCGCAGAAAAAGGGTCCGATTGAAATTACCGTTTATATGGTTATACCAAACCCGAAACTTAGAGTTAGTATTGTGACAGTCTATCAGATTGTTTGAAACTACTATACTGGTTCACTTGTTACATTATGTTTATTATAATTATACGCAATAGTTGCTTCAACTGTATATTATGGTTATCTTAATTGTTATATACTATAGTCGTCACCCTCTTAGTAGTTCCATCTACAATACATATTCGTTAATTTAACAAATAATAAACAGAATGGTTAAATATACTTTCTTAATTATTAATAAAAATAGTATAAATTTGGTATAGTGTTCTATTATATTGAAAAAAATATTATATATGTGAAGACAAAATAAAGTCCAAAGTTTTTTTTTTCCATAATAAAGTATATTACATAAATTTTAATTTAAGGTATATGTAAAATTGTTAGTATTTCCGTAAAATTTTCAAAAGTTAAGTTGAAAAGTCGTCATTTTGAATCCCTTTCTGTGGGCAAGTAAAAGGTCAGATTTATAAAAACAATATACCAATTAATAGGTAAAGATATCACGCACCTATAAAAAAAACTTATATGGATTTGGTCATTTTTGAAAAAGTTATGGTAGTGTTAAGTAAAAAAAATTGAAAAAATGTCAAAAATTAGCGATTTTTAAATTTGTAATTTTTTTGAAGTTTTCCTTATTTACAGGGAACGAAGGAAAACTTTTCAATTTTTAAGGGTAATGACTTCGATTAGATACAATTTGTGATATTTTGAGGTTTCGTTGAGAAATATCAGTCCAGTGAGTGCTGAGAAAAAGTAGTGAAAGATACAAAAAAATAAAAAAATACACATCATTGTAAAATTAATACCTTCTCAGCTTCGATCGAATCTAAAAAAAAATTGTCGCCGTCGTCTGGAAAACGATATAATTTTTCATGTAATAAATTCATAAAACGATGGTTAAAGAAAAATAAATATTCCTAAAAAATGAGAAGAAAATTTTTTTTGCGATGTTTTACATCTTACTCTTGTAAGATGCGAAACATCGAAACTATTAAATATGCATTGAAGAACAGTTTATAAAAAGTGAATAAATATTCTAAAAATTAAGAAGGTTGAATTTTTTTAATCAGTTAATTCTGCAATAGTAATATTCAATACTGCCACTGACAGTATTAATGTGACAATTGGTCAATGATTTTTACTTAGTTAAATAAATCCAATCTTCCTTATATATAAAAATAACACTTTTTTGGAATTTTTTTACGATGCCTTTTCACTAAGCGGAGAAAAACGTTTTCAAACATTTACGTTTGATTTTAATAGCCCTATTATCTTTTATCTTTTTCATAAAATTACAAAAATTTTTTAGAATAGGCATGTTTCAATATATAACACCTATCTTATACTTATTTTACACTGCAATACATCTACATAAAGGCCAGCGTCACTGCTTAATTGTGTGACATACTGTTGGTTTGGTTGTTTTAATTTTTTGCAATAGGCAACTATGTTCTTAACAATCACAGTCACTTATATTTTATTGTTACAATTAATAATTTATAATAGTAAAAATATAGAGAATCGATTTGTAATTGTCTTTTATCCAGTATTAAGTGACTAAGTATTTTTCAAAACATAAAAGGGTAACTGATTAAAGGACCTAAAGTATTTTTTGCTTAAAAGCCTCTATTATGCTCTAGTTTATAAAATATATCTAATTTAAATGGTTTTTTATGATTTTAAATTAATCATTTAAATTTAAAAAATTAATCTATATATAAGTCATATGCATATATATATATATATATATATTTTTTTTTATTTCTTAAAAAAAAATATTTTAATTATAAATCTACAGGTTTTACAGATATTTTCCATAAAGTGGTAATAAAATAAATGTAGGTTTGAAAAATATTAAAAAAATAATAATCTTGCAATATTAGTTTTTCCCTAAGTACATACCATTCCATTATTTTCCTCTGCTATTTTACCTTAAGTTTTTTAAATAACAGACCATTTAAACATTTCAATTATTTTTAAGGAATTATTTCTATCTATAAATGTATGTATGTAATTATATGCCGATAATGTTATTTTCAAACACATTATTTTTTTATTCTTATTTTAGGTAAATTTTGGAGATGTAAAAATTCCTCACCATTTAGACTATCCTAAGCCACAGAAAATCGATAGTTTATTAGGTATACATGGTGTTTTGTCAGATGACATAGTTGTTGTTGATGCTCAAACATTATTAATCCCTGGATTTTCCTATGACGGAGAAGCACCTGGTAAGTTATAAATTATTACCCGGTACAATGATTATCATCATTTTTATTTACCAAGAATCTAAAATATTTAAACAAATATAACATATTTAAGCCTATATAGATATTTTATTAAAATAATTAAGGAAAAATCATTTTTATAATGTGATAGACTTTTTAGATTCGATGCAATGCTAAGAAGTTATTCATTTTACTATGATGTGTTTATATTTGTGCCTATTGCCACTTTTTTTCAGCTCTCACTTAACCCATTTCTTTCAACGATACGTCAAAAGATCACAAATCGTATCTAGTTGAAGACATTGACCTTAAAAATTAAAAAAATTTCCCTATTTCTTCATAAAATGGAGGAAATCCCCCAAAAATATTACAATTTTTAAAGTCTAATATTTGACATTTTTTTTTCTTAAAATTGCTATAACTTTTTCAAAAATTAAAATAAAATTTTTATATAAACACCTTACATATTTTCCTTTCATTTAATATAAATTTTTTTGAAAATCTGATTTTTTAACTGCCTACAGGGAGAATTTAAACTAGCAAATTTTTCACAAAAGTCAATTTTTTAAACTTAACTTTTGAAAATGTTCCAGAAATACTTTGTCTTTCAAATACATGTTTAATTAAAGCTTATTTTACATACTATAAGTTAAATAAAAAAATTGTCCCGACGACCTATCTGCTATGTGAAAATAGCCGTTGAAGTTTAACAAATTTATTAAATATTAATTAATAAATAAATTTAAATTTATTAAATATTTATTCATGCAACACATGTATATATCATAAAACTAGTAACCAGGATATAAATAAGTAAATAGGAATTCATTTTGCTTTTGAAGTTATCTACTAATTCTTAAAATTAAACACTATCTACAGATTTGCATTGAAACGTTTTTTATGATGGTGATTTTAATGATTGTCAGATATCATCTATACTTATCCCAACTGTGTCATGTCCTCACTGTGCTCCGATCCCACTGGGCTACCGTTTGTTGAAATAAGTTATTTGTAGAATGATGTAACTTATAAAACTATAATTATAACTAAAATCAACTATAAGGCTTTTTTCATTATATTTAGGAAAGTGTTAGTATTTAATAAAAGGTTTATACATGTCCCGAGATTAGCAAGAAATAATTTTTGATTGAGCATAAGGCCTTTACATTTTTAAATACGGCTCTGAGTATGAAATCGGAAATTTTCTCTATTTTAATGTCAAACGTTAACTACAAAAAATATTACTTATCGTTACTTATTAAAAATTAAGATTATATTACAAATATTAAAGTTGAATTCTTATATCTATTATAGTTTTTAAAAAAATAATTTTATTCCATATGTTCTACACGTAAAATCCCACAACTATAAATTAACTTATATAAAATTGTTTATATAGTTTTTAATTTTTATAGGAGTTTTTTCTATAATATGATTATGAAATAAATTTATCATATTATTAATTTCAATGTTCATTTTTGTTTAGATGCCAAGTTCTGGGTAGGAGTTGGCGAAAAACCAACTCCACAAGGTATAAAAGTTGCAGATGAGAATGGAAAAGAAGCTCCATTACGTCGTTATAATCGTAAAACAATTGTACTGACATTGCCTGGTGACTTAACTATTTTTGACATTGGCCATTTCGGGGTATGGTGTGAAGCTTTTACAGTTGATTTTGGGCATGTTACCATACCACCCAGTTTAAACATACCACCATCGCTTAAAATGCTTGGCGTACTTCCTCAGGTTAGATAAATTTAAATATTACACTTCAATTAATAAGGCCCATACTATATTTATCTCGAACATTTACCAAATAAATTTTAATCATGTTTTGTCAATTATGATATAAAATTACCCATCTAAGTTTTATTAATTTTTAATAAAGAATTTCTATGCCATTAAAACTGCATTATATTTTGTTGTTTTTATTTCATATCACTTTTTGATAGCTATAACCAATTCTTATTTTATCAATATAAAACTTGCACAATAATGAGTAAAACGGTGTCGATAACTTATTTTGGTCAAAGATATACATATGGTGATGTTATTCTTAAATAATAATCTAAAAACTTGTTTACAGAAATAGTATAATCAATAATAAATTTTACTTAGATATTACTTCTGTATAGAAAATTTGTGTTAGCTTTTATCGTATACTTTATATGTGTTTCAATCAAATGAAATCGAAATTGCATAAATATGAATGATATAATTTAAAAACAGTTAAAAAACAAAGTTATTATTTTTTACCATTATTCGAATTAAAATGAAGAGATAATTAAACTTATATCGATGTATGGGCCTCTTGAGTTGCTCTAAAATAATGAATGAAACATACATAAAATACGATGTTACAGAAATTATTGACGGCTACTTATTCTTTCAACAACCATTTTAATAAAATTCAGAATCAACAAACTACAACAAGCTTTTATAATAAAGCTCAAAAACAAATCCAGGCGCCAACAACATACAAATCGCCAATCTTAAAACTCCCGATTTAATGATAAAAAAAATATTCATATAGCAACCAAACATAAAAAAATTTAACATTGTATTGATAACATCCAATTTTAAATTTTATATGTATTATTTTTTTATATTATTAAAGAAAAATCGTTCTTCTACCACTGACATATTTTCACATACGATCTAACTAAATTAAATGCTTATTAATAATACTAACAACATTTAAAAATACATTTTACAATCTAGATTGCTTAGGCCCTCCTCCTCAAAAACCTATAGCATATAACACCATCCTACATGAATCGTTTAAACATAAAATTAATAAAATAAATGTTTTAAAAGCCATTTGATAAATTAAAAATTTTATTACTATCAAAAATTAAGGTAAGGGATTCGGCGGTATAGCAGACTCCAATAAAGATTGAAATTTTACATAAAACGCTTCAATGCGATTTTTTATTGTAAAATTATAATTAAATAAATAATAAAGAAAAACTTTAAGTCAAATTTTAAAAATTTTGATTTTGTCTGCCAATTAATAATAAATAAGGTTTTAGGAAATTTATATTTTTTATTCTTAAATTGCATTTCAAAAAAATGAATTTGGTTTAGATTTTAAATAGGCAGAAATTCCAGAACATTATCAAAATTTGAATAGCAAAAACCACAATACAGTGGGAACTTAGCATAGTAGAGTCCAGTAAAAATGATTTCTGATAGTGAATAAAATTCTTCTTCTTCTTCGCCTTAATCCCAACTACTTGGGGTCGGCCAGTGATTAAAATTAATATCATAAAAATCGCTTCGTTACAAATCTGTAGTATTAAACTTTTGAAGAAATTATTGAATTATTCCAAAAGCAACAAGGACTCCTATTCTTTATTTATATTCTGATTAAAATTAAAACAGTTTACTTCTAATATAATGTATGAAAACTTGTCATCAGTTATATATTTATTTTATATACTAATTAAATATGTATGTTGCCTTAAAAAAAAAAAGAAGTAGACGCCCTTATAAGGTACAAAGAATTAATACCTAATATATATAATTAAAGCTTTTAAACATAACCTGCTATTCAGTAGCAGGGTGCTCCATTTACTGAGCTAGAAACAGTATTAGAATAAACAGGCACTACCCAGTTCTGAGTTTAGTTATACACTTACGCTTTACTTTAAACGAAAATTATGTTTTACTCAATAGTTCAAATATGACTAATCATCAGTAAAAAAAAACAATTAATTCTAACTCAATTTTTTAAAGTAATTTTTGATTTACAAATATTGTATTAACATATTTTAGGAACGAATCTCTTGATATCATTCAAAAATATATTATTTGGATTTTTTATTTAATTTCCGTTTTGATATTTTTATTTACGCAATGTGTTTTTCGATTTGTTTCGCACGAATCGTATTTTCTTGTAGTGATTCTTTAATGTGTGTTAATAAAACATAAAAACATGCACCACCCAAAAAAAGAAGATTCACGATCTATCCAAGACTCATCTAATCGAGCATCATCAGTATTCCTGCAAAATAATGTTCGAAAATATTGCACAACAAAAAAAACGCAAATATCACGAGAGAAATACAAGACCGTGCGTGACCTTTGCAGGCAATTACACAAACGCTTCGTTTTGAAATACATTATACGATTCCACTTTCTTTTCCCGCGACCCCAAGCATGACCAACTGATGCGATACAAGTATCACATTTTTATTATTTAATCGTCATGTTTTACATGCTCTTAACGCATTACTAATTAATCACGTTAAAGTACAGCGTATGAACTATTGAAAACACAAAAGAACATCGATTATCAAAAAGTAAACTTACTTGCTAATTATTGAATTTATGACAACCGTCTATTTTCTACTGCAAGAGAAATAATTATGTAAAATAGACAAAAACAATTCGGTTTCAAACTAAATCCATCACAATACACTAAATTAAAGCAGAAAAGACTACTTAGAAAATTATTGAAATACTTATGAAAATAACGAAGTTAAGTTATAAGACTTATAATATGATACTTAAGTAAAATAACGTTATTGAGTAATTAGCTTTTATGCTTTATTTATATTAAGTAAACCTCACATTTCACAATCGAAATATACAATAAGCTTATAGTAAGCAACCAATCATACGATTAAAAATTCTGTCTTACGTCAAATAAATAAAACATTATTGTGGTTGTTAAGAGAAAAAGTGGTCAAAAACATTCTATCCATCGACAACTAATGGATTTGGACCGTAATAAAAATTATCAGACCGTAAGTGCTGCTTAAATGTGCATGCGTAAAAAAAGTTCTTGTACGCTTCAATCCATCCTTGTTATTTCACTTCAGTAGACTTCAACACGAAAATAGCTTGATTAACCTTAAATAAGTGCACAATCGAATGAACACTTAAACGTTACCTTTAAATATGTCAGGATATTAGCCAAATAATAAAAGTTAATATTAAGTCAATAAAAAATAACTAGCAAAGAAATAGTATTTATGTAACTTTAATTCTTTTAGTAACATTGTAACTATCCCATGTAAACATAAAAATCAAATTTAATAAATTTTGTACAGTTTTAAGTGTAAGACCATTACACTGTTCTATTACCATTATATTGTAAGAATTCATTAAAGTTTATGTCTTACATAAAAAAAATAATTTTTTTTTTATTTATCTTTACCATAATTTTAGATGTTTCAATCTCTATAAAGAAATACTATCTTTTACGTATTTTTAAAATTTTAATATGATAATAGTGATAATCACCTCTAATTTCAATTTATATTTGGTATTCAATATATTAAGTAACCACTATGTCGAATCCCGCTGCACTTGTTAAAAATCATTTGGTATTGTTTGAATAATATTTACTTTTGTAAAATGTAACTCATTTCTGATAATAATTTTAAAATGAATTCAAAATATTTACTTCAAAATATTATCACGTATGATAACATACGTTTTATATAAAATATTTAACGAAAAAAAAATCTATTTTAAATAGAAAATTAAAAAAAAATTTCGATTCTCAGCTGATGTTATACTTAGTATGATTATCTTATACTATAAGTTAAAAATGAAAGTAATGTTTTTACTTTTTATAAAATAATAAAGAGTTTCATTCATTTTTTTAAATTAAGATATATGCTTTTGGCCTTTCTTAAACGTTAGCTTGAAGATAAATTTCTATTATTGTCAAATGTAATTAATTTTTTTTAATCAATATAGTTTCTGTATGTATGATCAAATGTTTTACCTTATCAACCACATATATAACGAAAATTAAACTATTTTTTTTAGAAAAACAATTTAATAAATTAAAAGAAGACAAAATATAAACTAATAAATCTACTCTCTGAATATTAAATATCGTTAAGAATAGTACGCGACGCAAAAATCACAATTGATAACAGAAAAATATAGTATTAACTTTTAATATAGTATTAATTTTAAATAATAGTTGCCACAGTGAACAATTTTTATTATATAAATAATATTAACGTTTGCTATCTTAAAAAGAAAAAATCACTATTTTACAACAACACATTACTTCAAAACTTTTCTAAGTTAAGTAATTAAAAAAGCTGAATCATAATGGTTAGTGTTTACCAACGCTATATTTACTTATTCTCATTATAACGTACAAATAAAAATACTACTTATATTATTTGCGCGTCACAATTGTTTACACTTAAAAATTATAATAACCTAAAGAAATTAATTTTAATGTCCAAACAAAAAAAATTAATAATTATTTCATATAATTTAGGTTAAAATAATACATTGTATAAATAAAAAAACTCGAATTATCAATGAATATTATATCATAAACTCTTAATATTACTCTAAGGTTATAATGCAACCAGTTAAATATCTTGTGAGTGCTAAGATTATATAGAATTCACATATCCATGGGATGATCCCCTTACTAACCTCATCAATTTGTCTTCTGAATATTTTAATATTTAAATTATTATACTAATCACTCGTATTTAACAAGATTTTTTTTGTATTTTGTGTTATTTGCTTAGAATACTTTTATTAAAGAATAAATAAATTGTTAATTACTTAATTATTAATAAAATAAAACTTAGATATATTATATTATGATAAAATATTTTGTGGTCATAATAAAAAATAAACTATTATGAAATTATAAATTTATATTTTGATGAGATTTTTGTAAAATCGACAACTTTATTTTTCAGTCAAAACTCAATTGTGAAGTACTTCATGAGCCATTAGGTTACGAAGTTCGATGGGCGATTGCTGGCGACAGTATAGTAATTCAATTAGTAGCAAAATTAGGTAATTTATTTAGTTATTTATTCAAGACTAATTATTTTAAAACTATAAATGATACTTATATTTTAAGAAAACAGTTTCTACAGTCATTATATTCGTGTAATTTTCATATACTTCATCACTTTTACTTATTGTACCTGCTTTATAGATTATAAATACTCAGATTTGTTTTTTTTTTTAATTAATTTTTTTATAATCCTTTAATTTTGTTGAATTACTATACAGGGTGTTCAGTAAGTTAGGAAACAGTTAAATTGTTACAAACAATGAGTACAATAGAAATTCGTTTCCTTATTTACTGAACACTCTGTATAGTTTCCTTTTTTTTTTAATACAGCGTTGTCAAACTTTAGACAGATTTATCAAGTTTTAATTATTCTTACACAGGCTAACGCTTCCAAAAATAACAGCGAATCCTTATGAAATATAATTACTAAATAATTGTATACTTACAATAATTTTAATAGTTTAAATACATTTAATATAAAATAAATTAAATAGTTAATCTAACAAAATACAATTTATCAAACGATATCCCATTTTATAGTATGTTGGAAACGAAGTCCTTTTTTTATAAAGCTATTGTTTATAAAGAAATAACATTGCCATTTTTAAGGTATTCATATAATTTTTTTATTAAAAGTACTTATTTTCTGTTTTAATGATGTAAATAATTTAAACAATTGTTTCGAATAAAAATTGTCACAATCCCCTATAGTAACCTAGAAGAATGAGTTAAACTTGATAAATCAGTCTCATTATTTGAAAATGTTTTCATTTATTCATGAATAATCAAATTGTTTTGATAAAACGAAAATAAAAATATTATTATTTTGAAAAATCATATTCCTAATATTCTTAAATTAACAATATGGAAACTCGGCAATTTTTAGTTTCATAACTTTCTTTCTTTTCTTGTAAACAGAAGCTAATCAATACATGTCATTTGGTTTGTCTGGGTCATATATATCAAACCGAATGATTGGAGGTGACGTTGTCGTAGCCGGTGTTGATCAAGACACCACCAATGGTTTTGCCCAAGACTATTATTTATTAGATAAGTCACAGTGTGTAGTTCAACAAGATAGCGGTCAAGTCAGTGGTAGTTGTCCAGATACCAACATTCAAGTATGAACACTTATAAATAGTTACAATATAAACTATTGTTCCAGCAAAATTTAAAAATTAATTACGTATTTTTTAAATTGCATGATAAAAACAATTTGATTAAGGTTAAATGTAAATATTAGATTTTTTTCAATGAATGTTTATCTATGAATATGTATTGCAGTGTTTTCAAAAAAGGTACAATATTATAAATATTAAATTCAGAAAAAACGTATTAAATTGTTTAGTAAGGAAAAGGCTTTTAATTATTCTCATTCTTCATAGAAATTTTTCTCATACTCTACTTCTTGAACAACTTAATAGATTTATAATTAAATTTAATTAATTAAAAATGATTTATACAACGTAAAAAATAAGTTTGAAGAACAATTCATATAAATCGAAGTTTAAGCCAAAATTTCAGTATATTATACTGTTCTAACATGACTTTATATTTAAATTTATGTTATGAATAAATATAACAGGCTATTTATAATGTTTATGACACATCGAAAATCAAAAGTTATTGGTGCCATATCACGTCTAGTCTTCATGATGTTTTATACTGATTAAATATTTGATTTAGGGTCCAGCTGGCGAAAGTGTCAGATTATTAAACGCTGCTGTAGTCAATGGATACTCTATAGTAACTTATCAGAGACCGTTGAAATCCAGGGATAATCTTGACTTATCCATATCGATCAACAGCAGTCAACCGATTATTTGGGCTATTGGACCACTCAATGACAAACACGAAGTTTCATATCATCAAGAATACTCAAAAGGTAGTTTTATAACATAATCAAATTGGTATATAAAAATAAATTTAATTTTAAATCATAATACTGTTATGTACAGTATTCTTACATCAATAACAAAACATTTTACAAAAGTATTCCTATTGTTTTCTTCAAACAATAGACGTTGACACAGCATGATAACTTCTAAAGTCGCAGTGTGCTCTTCCGTTGAATATTGTTTTTATTTTGCATTTATCATTAATATCTAAATTGAAAAATATCTACAATATGATATTTGACTAAAGTGTTGATAGAATTATTATTTTGAACAGGGTTTTCTGCTCCACGTGAATAGATTACCTTAGAGCTCTTAAAGTGTATTACAATATGTGTAGATGAATGCAGAGTTCATATTTGTGAAATATATACTGTATGGTACTTAATATTGTGTATATTGTGTATCATGCTTGAAAAAACACCATAATATCCTAGCTTATATTTTGACTAGAGAGTGTTGTAAAATAACTTGGAATTTACACGTAAAGCTTTAATATATAGCTTTATTTTGTAAATTTACCGCGCACGTCATTTTCCTAGTACTATAAATAACACTGGTTAACAATAAATAGATAAATTACAAATAGTCAACTACTTTTGACGTTTTTTACGGTTCTAAATCACAATATGATGGTTATTGTTTTAATTGTTTCAACTTAGATCTTTTTTATAAGTGAAGTTTTTTTTATTCAATTCTGGATAAAAAATTTACTAACCAACAATCTTTTAAATTCATTTTTATGTATTGCGTAAGGATACACAAAAAAATTCACCCAGTTTTTCTAGCCTCCATATCTGTGGTTTTCTCTTAAACTGGACTTTCATTTAAAGCATAGATTTAAATTTAGTAGCTTAGAAACATTGTAAAAAATTAAGCCCATAATATTATATCTTTTCTAAAGTTTTCATTTTTATTACTAACTGACTAGCTGAACCGACATAAAAATTATAAGACACATCTGATAGGTACAAACGTAAAATTTGGGAAAAGGTAGGTCTAATAATTTAAGTAAAGAAAAAATCGAGAAATTTTTTCTTTCAAAACAACCAGTCTTACAAACAGGAGCGTCATTTGAGGAGTAGCGAAACGGGTAGTCTTCATTTGATACTTAAGTTGCTAATTAAAATAAGATATTAAGCTAACTTAAAACAATAAAAATAAATTTTATCTAGAACCTAACTTTAAAAAAAGCTAAGTTCAACTTCCCCTCCCCCCCCAAAATATAGTCTGCCTATTAAAGTAGTCACTAAACAGACTCAGTTTTATACCTCATCAAGAATCGTGTCAAGCGTTAAGCAATACAAAATTTTAATCAATGTTACTCATGAAAGTAGAAGTGTAGAATAAAAATAAATGAAGTTGATGAATAAAAAAAGGACGAATTTGATCAAAATGGAAATAACATTATTTTGACAAGCAGATTTTTTTGATGAGTGGGAGATTGGAACTTTACCTTTTTTTTTTTTACAGTTAATTTTATGTTAGGAATTTTCTCAACAATAAAAAGTTAAAGTAATAATTGAGTTTTTACCGATTTATTACTATATTTGTTTAAATACCAAAAAAATTATGTTTTAAAAATGACAAAGAGATATATAAATTAGTATTTATTTGTTTTCATATTTAGAAACAATAAAAATTAATTTTGGCCGTTTACCTCAATGGAACTGTCCGATACCAGACGTAGACTCTAATCCTGTAGCAGTGGCAACTATTGATGTAACATCAGAAACTATACCAGTAATTACAAAAAATCAAACATTAATACCAGAGGTGAGCCATAAACTAAAAATTATAATTATAAATTTAAAAAATAAATAGAATGTAAATATTATTTAAAAGAAGCAAATAAAATATTATTATGCAATTAGAGTTGATTTTTTGTGATGAATATTATTTAAAATATTAATTTAAAAATAAAAATATTCATTATGTGATATTAAACATTATTGTTTTTGAACTAATTTTAAAATTCCGTAATATTTCAATGAATAAAATCTCTTTTGATAAATAAAACTGGGGGTTAAAAAAGAAATTTCTAGATTTAATGGGAAAATACAAATTTGAACTTATTTTGATTATTTTACTCCTCAAAATTAAGGAAAACGATTTTGAATTTTTGAACTAGCTAAAATAATTATTTTTATCTATTCATACATGTAGTTTATGGTGGCTGAGTCTTAAATTTTACAGGTAAAATTTATCGGTATGTAATGAAACCACAAAAATTTTAAAACTACGAGCAAAAAAGATCTTTAATTAATAATAGATGTACTATATTAAGTATTAATAATAAATTAAAGAATATTATACAGAATGTTAGTTTAATCAATATCATAAGTAATAAGGTGATATTTTGTAGCACCTAAAAATAGCGAAATCAATAATTAAAATTTCTTATCTTCAATTTGGGGTTTTTGAAGTTTCCCCACTTCAAATTTTATTTAAATAAAATATAAACATCGTCATGGTATTTTCCATAAAATTCTCATAAAAATTGAGTAGTCACTCGATTTTTCGGCCTCCCATGAACAATTGGACAATTTCCCCTTATAGAGAGGGCGTTAAAAACTTGAAACATACTTATAAAAAGTAGAACTTTTTCAACTTACATTAAATATATATTTAAATTTATTTTGATTATTTTTCCTCCTCAAAGTTAAGAAACGCGAATTTGATNCTCCTCAAAGTTAAGAAATGCGAATTTGATTTTTTGAACTAACTTAAAAGTTCTTTTTATCTATTCGTACATGTAGTGCACGGTGGATGTGTCTTACATTTTACAGTCTTAAACGTTCAGGGTACTAAGTTTGAACCCCGCCAGTTGAAATAACTTAATTGCATTTTTTTCTTAATTCTTTATAGAGAAGGGGAAAAAAATTAAAAATAAATAAAATACAATCAAAATTTTCAATGAATATCAAGGGCCCGTTATATATCACCGTAGTCTCGCCTGTTAGAAGAAATTTCTTTTTCATATTAAAATATTTTACTATTTGGTCTTCGTTTTGTATCTATCATTCATTTTACTCATCTCTCGCTTGATCATTTTTAATAATCAATACGTGAAAAAAAACTCAATTTTAATCATGTTAAACTTATAATGATCAAATAATAATAGGAGTATATAATTTTTAAAAATAATCTGTTCAAATTTTCATTTCAAAATGTCATTTATAACTTATTTTTTTGATCTTGATTTTACTGTTGATTTTTATGAAAGTTTATAATTTAAAAATGTTGAACTTTTAAATACTATATTAGCTCAACTTGCAGGTTAAGAATTTATATCATTAAATAAAAAATTGTATTATCTAGATTAATATGTGATCAGGATCTTATATAATTACTATTTATAGTAAATTTATAAAAATAACTCAAAATTAAGAAAAACGATTTTGAATTTTTGAACTAGCTTAAATAGTTCATTTTAGCTAGTTATTTATATATAATGTACGATAGCTGCTAGAATATAATACAGTCTTATACGCTCACTACGAAGTGCAAAATTCGAATTCCGACAGTCTTAGTAACTTTTTAAATTCAACCTTCAAAAAGTTGATTAGGAAAAGTACATTTTTGACTGTGATAAAAATTCCTTGTAGACCATTTATTCATATTTAACAAGAAATTTTTTTCTAAAAAGTTTTGTATCAATCACTTTAATTTTTATGTACGTTTGCCATAATATTAACAATTAGTTTAATTTTTTTTATAATTTCTCCTTAAAATTACAATATCTAATTATTATATATAATTAATTATAATAAACATTTATTATAAATATATTTATTCATATATTATACTTATAAATCAATGAACTATAAATAAGGAATAATAAATGAAATAGAAATTCATTTTGCTTTTGGAATAGCCCACCAATTTTTTCATATTAAATACTATCTACAGATTTGCATCGGTGCGTTTCTTATGATGGTGATTTAATCATTTAAATGTACCATCAATGTATTCATTATTAAAATCAAAAATATTTCAAAGTATTAATAATCAAGATAGTCTTTGCTCTGACCCACAATGGTTTGGATATCAAAATTAGATGGCCATGACTATTATACAATTTTTTTCAGAACTTATTATAATATTTTTTTTAATAAAAAAACATTTGTATTTAAAAATGAAATGTATGGCTAAATTAGAGTTATTTAATGAGTTACAATATTTCACTTATATTTGTATATTTTGTATCCTAATTTTAGATACAATATCTTTTGATACATTTTTTTTAAAGCTTTTAAATAGTCCATTGTAAAAACTAAAAAAAAAAAACAAATTTCTAACATATGAATAGCTAATTAAAATAATAATTATTAATTTGTTGCTTTTTTTATCACTCAAATTTTCCATATTATCAAATATATGCATTTTTGCAGAAAAGTCGTAAACATTAAGAATATGTTAAGTTTATTTACGTACGCCTACAAAAAGCTGAGTACAGTTTCATTAAAATTTAATTACAAATATAAGTCACATTTTTTCATATAATTTCTTTTTTAATTAAAGAAAAAAATTTTGTCCAGTTCAAATTTTGTAATTTTATTAAAAAATATATAAAAAAAAATTGAGACAAAAAATTTCATGATAGTTTTTGACGGCTATTTTGATTTGCAGACCTCTGTTCGACCCTGGCTTGACAAGCCTTTTTTTCAATTAACAAAAATATATCATCGTATATTCCGTGGAAAATAAAATATGTGCAATATATTTAATAGATTACTCCGAAAAAGAAAATTAGACCACGACCCATACCTAATCCAGCACATGTTCAGAATATTGCTATTCCCTGGGAAATACCACCCATTCAATGTTTTGAACCAGATGATGGTGTTTTTTACGCACAAATGGGCCCTACGGGTGGAAAACATGGTTACTCCGCTATTACAGGTCAGTTTTTTGTATTCAAGTTATAGTAATAAGTGAATAATATAAATTAGGGACAGTATAAAAATGTTACTAAAATTATTTATAAAAATATGAATCAAAATTCTATTATAAATCACAATATTCATTTATTTAGGTCATGTTGGCTGGGGTATATCATGGTACATAAATGGCTTACTCATACCAGAAATAAATGTTGTAAGGGGACAAACATATACATTTGTTGTTGAAGGTGGCAATGATCCAGAAATACCTGCCAAATATCATCCATTCTATATAACTGATGATCCAGTTGGAGGATTCGGGTACAAAACAATTGAAGAAAGGGAGGTAAAAAAATAATATTTAAAAATAACTTTAAAAATTGAAGTTTGCAAATTAATAAATAAAAACATTAGTTAACTCACAACAATAGTATATTTTCTAACATAAAATACTATAATCCCATTCTTAATAATCAAAAATATAAAATGTATTAATAAAATAAAAAAAATTCAATAATATATTTGATAATAATGAAATAATAATTATTCTTTCGTACGACAATATAATTTAAGGTAAAAATTAAAAAAAATGACCCATGGACTACCAGATGTGGATACAAGAAGGTTAATGGAATCAAATAGGTTGCTATTAAGTGATGATGATGTAAAAAAAAATGTGGAAAGAGTATTTTGAATAATTACTCAATGAGGAGTATCTAAGAAAGATATTAGAGGATATTTCGAGAAACCAAATACTGGTAGATTTAATTAGTGATAAGAGGTTAGGATGTGGCATCAATGAAAAAGAATAAAGCAGTAATACCAGATGAAGTGCCAGTAGAAGTATGGAAAATATTAAGCAGTGTTGGTATAAAGTGGTTGAAGGATCTTTTATAGAAATCTTATTAGAAGGGAAAACCCCAAATGATTGAAGGAATAGTATTGTGCTGCCGATAATTAAAGGTAAAGAAGACATACAGAAGTGTGGAAATTATAGAGGCATAATGCTTATGAGTCATAATATGAAAATTTGGAAAAAGGTAATAGATAAGAGAATAAGATAATAATAATACTTCGGTATTGAAAAACCAACTTGGATATATGTCTGGTAAGTCAATAATGGAACCATTATTTTGCGTGATACAACTAATAGAATAGTATAGGGAAAAGAAGAAAAAGCTGTGTATGGTATTTATAGATTATGAGAAAGCGTATGATAGAGTACCGAGAGAGGTTTTAAAGTGGACATTAATGAGAAAAGGTACAATAATATAATAGATAACATGTATTATGGCATTTGTACCATGCTAAAAAGTGTAGGAGAAGTAACAGAAGGTTTTATTTTAGAGTAAGAATAGGAGTACACCAAGGTTCTACTTTAAGCCCTTACTTATTTTCTATAATGAAATTACTAGAGACATACAAGAATAGGTAATAGAAAATAACCCAAAAATTTAAATTATTTTTTTAAAAAATGGTACATGTTGAAAAATAGCTCTCATTTAACAGAAATAGTCAAATTCCTTCTTCCGCAAAAATATACTTGATCTTTATTAGTTTCAAGTTGAAGAACGCAGGAGGAAAATTGAAGATCCATTGGTAAAAATTAAAAGGGGAAAAAGAAAAAAGAGTTTTTAAAGGCGGTAAAAGAGAGGTTGATGTGGTATGTCGAGGGAGAAAAATAATGTGTCGAATAGATTTATTAGTTGTGTAAAGATTACTGCAAATGAAATTGTTTATGAGAGTAGAAGTAGAATGCCAGGAAACAAGAAAACCTGGTAGTAGAATAAGGACGTTCAAAAAATCATAAAGAGTAGGAAAAAACAGTTTAAAATATGACTAGTAAAAAAAGAGAAGATTGGATGAAGCATAAATGCTTGTGCAAAATAGCCAAGTGTGCAGTATTTAAGCCGAAGTTTAAGAGGTATGATAAGCTAGGAACAATGATTTTATCAATCATGAAATATATTTTATTTATTTTAACCACTTTATCAGTGGAAAGAAGCAACTGGTGTTATGTGATAATGTATTTCAATGAGGCTGAATTGTAAGTTCTATGTCTTATAGAACTTACATCAGAATCATTACATGTAATCAGACCAGATATTGAGTGTTATATAGTGTTGGGCGGTTGACAAGAAAATAGAGTAGAGTCTGAGTGTAGTAATGATAAGAACGGAATGACTAGAGAAGATTTGATAACGAACCAACATATCAGAGGGAAATTAGGTGTAGCGTCAATCGTGGATAAGATAATAGAAATAAACTTAGATAGTTTCGTCATATTGTGAAGAGAGAGGAATCGAAACCTTAAAAATAGTTATGGAAATGGAAATTTGAATGAAAAAGAGGTAATGGATACAATTAGGAGTGTAATGAAGACTACTGGTGTGTGTATAGAAAACATTGGAAATCGTGATGAGTAAAGGTTTAGGATACGAGTACCCGACCCTAAGGGTAAAAAGTATGTGTAGTGAAACGTTTCTACGTTTGATCTCTTTAAATATGAAAAATATAACACAAATTTTCGACTAATCGATTTGTTCTGATTTATTTTTATATAAAGATGAATATATACATATATTAATAAACTAACTACTATATCAGTCTTATTTTAGAAACTATTTAATTTGGGGTGAAGTAGAAGTATAACCCTCTGGATCACGGTTGGTAACGAGTAGTTACGAACACCGTTGCAAAAGGTTAAAGGGATTTTTACAAAAAGACAGTTATCTCGATCACGGTTGATAACACGGAGGTTATGATCACCGTTGAAGATGAACTGTATTGTATAAGTGGTGGAATCTAACCCTTTGGATCACGGTTGGTAAAACGTTTATTACGAGCACCGTTGAAAAGGATTAAAGAGGAATATTAAGGAAAGACTAGCAATCTTGATCACGGTTGATAACACGATGGTTATAATCACCGTTGAAGATTATGACTAGCCTTTAAAGAAAAGAATATATAATTTTGATCACGGTTGGTAACGTTTAGTTACGAACACCGTTGAAAATTATATATGTAATAAGGAAAAAATAAAGAAAACTTACTCGATGGAAAAAATGAAATGATGAATTATTATATGAAGACTAGTTGGCAATGAACACTGCAAACACTAGTAAAACGAAGAACTAAGAAAACTATTAGAATTTTAAGAGAATAATTATACAAGCAGCGACGGTGCCCTTTATGCTACCCGTCACCACCGGAGTAGTGTAGAGCACAATTGCCCACATATTATTTATTTTTAAAAAACCCTCCAAAAACAAAAGAATATTCTAATTTCCTGTTTTCGAGTTCTCGTTAAGACTGGTATATAAAATAATCATTACAATATAATAAAAAAAAATAATAAATAAATACTTTAATTTACATATTTGAATAAGGGTTGTCAAACAGCGCTGTCCAGCGGACTTTCTTGCAACTGTCAACCAATTATAGAGCCGTAGCGTAACGCTACAGTAGGGAAACATAAGAGTTTGATGTTGTGAAAAACTTAAAAAGAGATGGAGAGATGTCATTGAATTTGATATGGGGACAATCGATGTATATGTAGATGAGGTGGGAGATCCTGTCAAGTGGAAGTTTAGAATAAGGAAGGCCGACCCTAAGAAATTAGGTTAAAGACAAGGGATAATAAGAAGATGATAGGTTGATAACAACTATTAAACCAATATTTTTTAAGTTTTTAACAATTTAAAGTAATGATAGGGAATGAGGCATAGATGCTGTTATTTTCATCAAAAAGTATGGTAAGGATATAACCCCCATAAAGAAAATGAATACATTATGGAAATACATTTTGGAGAGGATAGTAAAAAAAAATTTTTTTATCTGAAATATTTCTAATATCAGCTTTTGGAAAATATTTACAAAATTTATTATTCTCCTATCTTAAAAACAATTTTATAGAAGGTATTCAGGATAAGACACTACTTTATTTTAGCCATTCTAATTTCAATAACTTTTTAAATTAAAATGAGTAAAATATTAAATTGTTATAACAGAACATTCATATATTTGCCGGGGTGAGTATCAGTAAATCTGGAGAAATAGTGCCAACAGGAATTGGTCGATTATGCAATTGGACTCCAGATTCACAACAACCCTTAGCAGATGAATTCGTTTCTTTTGGAGCATATCAAAGAACATTAAGTTTAGCTTGTGATCAAGGTGATCCGGGCATTGTTCAATGGACTCCTGATACTAATACACCAAATACTGTTTATTATCAGGTAAATTAATCTATTGTTTAGCAATAAAATATATAAAAGGTCATTAATTATCTTCCAACACATTAGTTAGGGTAATTTCAAAATTTAATATTATACGGAATGATGGATAAAAAGTAATCTTTTTTTATTATTACTAAACTTTTGAAGTTATAAAAATTTTTTGAGAAGAAAAATTATTCGGCATTAAACAAATTTTATATTGTTATTTCACTATTAGAAATAACAATAATCATCGTTTTTTTATATTACCACATAAATTAGTTTTTAAGGTTATACCAATAATTGACTAAGGTTAGGGTTGGGTTAGGTTACATCAATCATATAACACACTTTATCTTTAATAGATAACTAGTGTATATTATTAAACGCATACGCATTTATATTCAACATTGTTTTAATCCATTTTTATATGACTGGTGTGGAAAACTTATAGAATAACAAAGAAACAGACTATTTTTTTAATCAATATCAATATCGACTTATTATGACAATATTAATTTTTGAAGAATATCCTATTATTATGCGAGTAAAAGACTTTTCAAAATTATGGTGCTGATAGCCTCAAATAGATTTGATTTGTGACTGTTGAACAAAATCAGCCTAATAGTAGTTAATCAATTTCACGTAATTAAAAAAAATATAAGTAGGGTAAAAGCAATAGTTTCTTAGCTACTCATCGAAGTTGATAGGGGTTTCTATTTAAGAAAATTTGAGATGTGATTTTTAAAAAAAATATAAAAAATAATTTAATTACATAATAGTGTTGAGTATTTTAGAATAAAATATATTTGTTGGTTTTTTTAGAAAATGAGTCATGATTAATCACCTGTATAAATATATATTTTACATACTAAATTTAAATTTTGTGTACTTTTAGTGCTTTACCCATCGTCACTTGGGTTGGAAGATAAACGTTTTAGATTCTTGTAACAAAGAAAAACCTGAACTTACTGCTGTACAAGAAGACCTACAAACAAGAGGAAGTATTCAGTATACAACTCGTGTGAAACCTGATAGTAGTAATTTCGAAATTATCAAAAATTCAGAAAATATTGATCATCTAACGTTTATTCCGGCTGAACTAGAAAACGATTTAAAAAAAGATTTTATAAAACTACAATACACTAAACCAGAATATTCTGTATCTACTCAAAATTTTTCTTATAATTCGTACCCGATCTCAAACCATACTTATAGTAACACAACATTTTACGTGCCTCAATCGCATTATGGGAACCCACAACCCTTACAGCCATCAACAAACAAATATATTATAAATGATAATACCAATAGACCTTTACAACAATTAGGATCTATACCTATGTCAAACTATTATAATCAACAACTAGTACCAAACATTTATAACCAACCAATCCCAGCAGCAGCATCTCACTTTCAAGCACAATCCACAAAAAGTTCTATAATTAATGAACACAGACGTCCTAATATAAATTATCAACAAATATTCTTTAAACCTAATCAAAATTCTCAAATTTCTACAAATTATGTACCTAAAATTGATAGTAGAAAAGTATCAAGACCAATGGGGCCAATACGTTCAGTTATTTATAAAAAACCAGTTCATAGATTTCCACCATTAAGTGACATGAATCATCATGGTTCTAATACGCTTACACGAGGACATTTATCTTATGTACCAACTTCAAAGCAATTTCAACAACAGCAACCATATGGTCAATATGGTTCTTCTATATCTCAAACTGTTTCTGTATCATATTCAACGTCCAAAAATAATAACAGTCCATTATTACATAATCATAATCATCATCAGTACTCCCATCAACAAACACAACATCAAAAACCACATATACTAATGAGAAATGCCCAAGAATTGAATGGCGAACAAACAACAATAAATAATAGTGCATTTGGTAAAACTCGGGGAGGATTTAATCCAAACACCGTAATTGTTGAAGGAGGATTTAAACCAATATTTCCAGAAAATTCTTCGGCACTAGATAAAATAAGTGAATATATCAATGTCAAAACTACAGATTTAGAAGGAACTACTATGAATGAATTTGTAGAAGATTTGCCTGAAAACCACAAAAAAAAGATAAAAATTAGTAAAAAGTTACTACCAAAAAAACTTGTTAAAGAATTTGATCTCGACAATGAAACCACAGCTGCTCATACAAATATTACTACTATTGAATTCAGCCATAGAAACTTATCAAATGAGCACTTCCAAAAAATATAAATTTAAAAAATATTTAATGTATTATCTGTAAGGATAGTGAAATAATTATCATTTTTTTTTTTTTTTAATTTAAATAATATTTTTTATGGACATTATAAGTTTTGCCATTCAATAATCATGAGTTTAAAAATTCCATATAATTAAGTATATAATTTTTGTTTTTAACATTTGTCAAATAAAAGTTATTTTTTGTTATAATATAGTTATTAGTTATTTTATTGGTGTTTATTTTTAAGTATTTGTAATAAAAAAAAGTCTTTAATATTGAATGTTGTATAAAGCTTTGACTTAAGTATATTTAAACATTTTTTTGTTTAATGACTCATCAATAAATCATTCTAAAGATTCTCGTGTAAGTGATTAGTTAAAGAATGAAAATATATTTCATACGCTTTATTAAATCGATAATGAATTATTATTCTATCCTATATTTAATTCATATGAATTAACTAATTATTGATACGTCCCTACGCTTCGTTACTTTACACAAGCTACTTAATTTAAAAAATATAAATGTTACCTTGGATCATTTTTATCAAACAACATAAGATAAAATGTAATATACGTTATCATTTGAGTTTATTAATACTTCTGATGTCTCTTGAGGGAACATTTATTCCCCTTTATTATTCTTACATTCATGAACAATATTGGCTCTTCATTTCAAAATTGAAAATTTTTTATTATGTGTGTAACGTCACGAATTTGAAGATGGACCGTTTATAATTTTTATTATGTCTATTTATCTGTTTTTTTATCGTGCAAGAGAATGCGCCAATGGACCTTTTTTGACTCATAGGTATCAACACTCATTACTTCTGACGCTGAATAAGACGACAAAAGAGAATAAATATAATTAAAATCGAATTGTGTATTGATCCTTCCCAAAAAGACTGGCCGTTATCGATTTGAAATTTTCGATAGATCGATGTTAGCTCTTCATCTACCCTTTTGTTGTTGACTTTGCTAAAGTACACATATTTTTTGTTATCTCATCACTATTATTTTCAATGATGCAGAAGAGACGCCAATGGCGAACAACTAAGTCTTTTTTGGGAAGCATCTAGACCATCGAATGGGTCACACATTGGAGACCGGGTATCATTTTCTTTTTTATAATTATATTTATGTAATAAGCTCTGTTTTATTAATTATTTTATTTTATTTTATTACAAATTGACTTAATTTTATTTAAGTGTGGAGAAATCGTATTTCCTGTTTCTTCTAGCCTATGCTAAGAAGCTCCTGTTGTTTTTCATTATTTCCAATTAACACTAACGAATGTGTATCAATACCGTCCGTGATGTTTGTTATATTTTTAATTTTGTCTTAATAGTTTATTTTATTTTTGTTGTTAGCTTTTCTTTATAGACGTGGTTTTTACTACATTCGTATTGTCCATATTAAAATTAACTTTCATTTTTAACAATTAAATTAAAATTCCGTATTAATCTGAACTATATATTTATTTTTATTGTACGTGTATTTTATCCCTGTTCCTTAATATAGACTCAGGCTACGGTAGGGGAGACTGGTAGAACTACGATCACCTTAGCGAAAATTGTTATATTTCTGGTTCTAAGACTCTAAATGTTATGCTATAACAACAAATGGATGCATAAACTTATTAACTGCATTATGTCAAAGTCTCAGATTTTGAAAACATAATCTTATATATAAATATATATATATTTTTTAATTCAAATGAGCGATATTCCCTCAACCTCGGGAGAATATTGACCATACATAAATACACGCAAAAAGATAGGGATAAAATAATTAAAAAAAAAAAACTCAGCATAGTTGGGTCGCGGCACAATGGGGACGTGGCATAATTGGCTCCAGTATAGATTTAATCTGACAGTGATTAAAATCACTATCTTAAGAAAGGCTTTGTTGTAAATCTGCATATAGTATTTAATATACTATGAAATTGCAGGATAATTACAAAAGCAAAATCATATTCTATTTCCTTAATTATATCCAGATTAGTAATTCTTAGATTCAAGATAATTTTTATAATTAATTCTTTTTAAATTATTATTGATATTTATTTTTATTGTTCAAAGTAATAATATTTAACCTACTTTTTTCGTCCTTTAAAGAGAAAGTTTATAATAAAAAAAAATGAATTTATAACCGTAACTTTTAGCTCAACTTATAAGTTTGAAATCGACATCATTAAATAGAAAAAAATGAAATTGTTAAGATTAATATGCAGTCAGCAAATTTTATAATTATTATTTACTGTAAATTTATCAGAAAAGATCTAGTTTTTTTTGCATTTTTATCGTAATAAATCACATAAATAGAACTCATAGTAATCATTTTGGTGTTTAAAAATATTCTATAATTGAAACATGCAGAACTGAATTAATTTTAATGATTTATTTTAACTAAAAAAACCAATAAAAAAAAATTATTAAAAAGATCTACTCAATTGAGTGTATTATAAAATTTGATTATAATTGTAAAAATCCATTGTTAAATTGAGGTAAAACTAAAAATATCTTTTTTAGCTTCGATGCGAAGCTGAGAAGGTATTAATTTTACTATGATTTGTTTTTTTTGTGTCTGTTACCACTTTTTCTCAACTCTCATCAAACCGATTTCTTTCAACGTTACATCAAAAGATCACAAATAGTATCTAATTGAAAACATTACCCTTCAAAATTGAAAAAATTTCCCTCGTTCGCCGTAAATGGAGGAAATCTCCAAAAAAATTACAATATTAAAAATCGCTAATTTTTGACATTTTTTCAATTTTTTTTACTTAAAAGTACCATAACTTTTTGAAAATGACCAAATCCATATAAGTTTTTTTTATAGGTGCGTGATATCTTTACCTATCAATTGGTATATTGTTTTTATAAATCTGACCTTTTGCTTGCCCACAGAAGGGAATTAAAAATGACAACTTTTCAACTTAACTTTTAAAAATTATACGGAAATACTGGCACTTTTATATATACCTTAAATTAAAGCTTATGTAATATAGTTTTGTATTTATAACATTTATTACAATGTTCTTAACACTTATATTACACACGTTTTATTTCTATTTACAGTTCGTATTGCATATTAATTAGCATTGAGGGAGATGCTGATGTGACTGATGTGAATTCTACTCGTCTGCAGCCCGGAGCTACTGACGTCGAACCAACAAAGGGCATTTGTGTTTGAGTGGCCTTTATAGACATAGTTTTCAATACTATTACTTTCGTCTTATTTATATTATTTATAACTTAACTTGTTTTATTCAACGACCCGTATATCGCCGATTGTCATCATAGCCAACTCCGTCTCACTTGGATATACCTACTAACCAACTGTACTAGGATTCAGGTCAGACGTATTTTACATTAGATACAACTTATATTTATTGAACATCTAAAATATAACTTTACTTTTGTGATGGTGTCACGTTTTCATAATCGTGAGAATTATTTTAATAAAATACAGACAGCACATCCGCTGCCTGAGACTGGTGAATTAACAAATAATATTTATTGCCAAATCGGCAATAGGTGTAATTATTATAAAAACCCAATAGACCTGACCATCGTGGTCAGTCGACTCCAGTGCCTTGTGTCATTCATCAGTCTCAGTACTCGGTTGTCGCTGTCCGGCTTACTGTTTAAAGTAAAGTCTTTGTTTATTCCTTTTCTAACCTATATACTCTTTTCCTCGACATTTCAGAGTACTTGTGTCTTGCACTTCGTCTGCACCTTATACTCGGCTACCCCGTTCTCTCTTTGAAGTACTTGTGTCTTGCACTTCGTCTGCACCTCGTACTTTGTTATACTCCTTATCTGGTACGCCCAGTATTTGTGTCTTGCACTTCGAAACACATCGTTTCTGTATTTGGGTGGCCGTGGCTCGTGGTGTTAGCTACTCCGATTTCATTGATAATTGCATTATCGTTTTTTATGCACTGTTTACTATGCTCCACGTGGAGCTGTACTGACTGAATAATTTTGTTTAATGGTAGAAATTCGTTTATCTCTCTTATATGCTGCGGTATGTACTTTGATGTTTTTGTAGTCGGCTTGCCGGGCCGCTAATGAGTACCATTATTTACATGATAGAGTACCGCAAAATTTCGTTCACCCGTTCCGTACATTACTCCGTATTTGTGTTTTTCAGAATAAATGTACGTGTCCATTGAATAGTGATTTAATATGCTGGCAATTTCTTCATCTGAAAACCAATAGCCTGGGACGTCTTTTATTTTTAATAACACCAATAAATCACAAAGTGTGATTTTCTTTTGTTTAGATGAGCTAATTGCATTGCAAATTGCATGTAATGCGCAATTGTTGTCTTCCGCAACATTTTGGCCCATTTGATATTTTTCGAAGACCTCCCGTAGTTTTGCTAAACGTGTGTTGTCAGCAAATTTATTCTATGCGGCTATTTGTGTTGTGAGTGTAGAAATAACGTTCTTACTGTTTACGTGGTTTATATTGTGTTTTTTTATTGCTGCTTGGTCGGCGTTGAATATTTTCGAAGTTATAATACTTTTTATAATCATCAATTTTGAATTAAAGTTAATATAAGCATTATTATCGAATAGAAATCTGTTACCCAATATTAGCGAACTTATTAAGTTATTTACAACATAGACAGCTACATCAAACTGCTCGTTCTCAATGACGATTTGAATAATAGTTTTTCCTATTAAATCCAAAGGCTTGTTATCTGCTCCGGTTATTAGCATATTTTCAACCTTTTTTATGTTGTATTCTTTAGCTAATTCCGCGTTTAATATATTTAGATTTGCCCCGGTATCTATAGTGACTGTTATTTCTGTTTGGTTTAATGTGGCTATGATGTACAATGCTTTTGCGCTAGAATATTGACTTGTCGATTGTACTTATTCAATTTTATTGCTTTTATTAACTTTATTTATAACATCTTTTGACTGATGTGATTTTATTTTTGAGTTTGCTAAGGTTGAAGGTGAACGTATATCCTTAGCGTGAATGTTTAACCTATGAACTAGTTTTTTTTGGTTGCAATTTTTTGCTGTGTGATTTTGGCACTGGCATAATTGACACTTTGTGTCATCCGCTTCCTTTTTTCTGGATCTACAGACACTTGCTTCGTGGCCGTATTTCTCACAAATTTGGCATTGAACTATTAATCTTTTGTTACGGAAACAATTCTCAGTAATGTGGTTAGTCCTGTTGCAAATATCACATTTTCTGTTTTTGCCGGGCGTGTTACCATTAAATTTTTTTACTGTATTAGTCCGTGATTTCTGAAAATCTAAAAGTGTAAAGCCGTACCTTCCAAGAAGGCTGGTAAAAACTGAACTTTTTCTTCGTCGTTCCGTTCATTTATGATGCTGGCCCTTTTGTATCGCTTAAGAAACAGGTCTACGCTTTCGTGAATTTCTCCTCTAAACTGACCTGGCTTAAAGAATGGCTTTCTACGGTTCTTGATGTCATTATTAGCCATGTTTTTGGTATGTGGTACTGTAAAAGATTCGTTAAGATCTACAACGAAATCTTCCGGGAGCCACTGACCTTTTATATATCTAACCAAGCGATGTTTTGTTCTAGAGTGCCGGCAGTGGTTAGTTTTCTCTTGATTAGTTCAGATATGGTTGGGTTGGGTTGGGTTCCCGTTGCGATGCGCTACAGTGTCGGCGTGATCGGGCTCTACGGGGCTACGAAACGTNCCCGTTTGCTGTGCTCTCACTGCGGTGGAATCGGGCTCTACGGGGCTACGAGCTGCTGCAGCGGGCGCAGTTCCCTAGCTCGGGGAATCGGGCGCGTCCTCAGGTTGCGGATAGAGGAACGGCCTGCAGATATGCAGGCTAGCCGCGAAATAAGCAGTCCATTAATTTGGACTGACGAATAAGCGGTCGCGGACAGCGAGCCCCTCGTTCGCTTGTTAACCCTGCAGATATGCAGGGTAGCCGTGATATAAGCCACTCCTAGAGTGGACGAATAAGCGGTAGCGTTCGAGGAAAACGGGCAGGTGGGCCCGATAGCCTGGTAAGGCGACCACCTAGGTGAAGGTAACACCGAAAACAAATCCCCTGGCGGTAGGTAAAACGCAGGGAAGGACACCCGTAAAACCAATCATGGAAGGAAACCATTCAAATATAACGGTTACCGCGCCAGGAGAATCGGAGTCTCCAGGGCCGGCTGGGAAAGGTGTCGCTACAGGCCTAACCCGGTCGTCATCCAGCGACTGTACCAGAACCGTGGGACTGGTGAGGCAGGGTCCAGGGGGCGTTTGCGCCCAAGTAACTGTCGGAGGGTGTGCCAAGCAGGCACCCTCTAGTGACCTTCGGGTCACTGAGGTAACTGCTGGTGGCTTTGCTACCATCGTAGAGATGGTGGACGACTGGGAAGGTGTGCGTGATCGTTTTCGTGACGACATGCCGCTGACCCAATCGGAATTCACCAAATGGAACNCGCTAACTCAGTCGGAATTCACTAGATGGAACGGCTGGCTCCAAAGCATGGAGACTGGAGAATTGTCGTTGGACTCGTTCCCGTGTGGCCAATTCCGGACGGCTGAAGCCTTCCGGAGTTCAGTGTCTACGGTGCTGAGGCTAATGAAGAAGGATCNTGCTGAGGCTAATGAAGAATGATCTGGACAATGGTCGTCCATTCGCTCCAGAAAGGGTCAAGGAGTATGACCCTCTAGAAGGTATCGATGAGCCCGAGCAGAGGGCGGAGCTCATCGATAAATGCATAGCCAGCCGCCGAGGAGAAGCCGCGGCGGAACGACTCATGGGCGTTGCCCGCCTAGTTGCATCGGAGCTCGTATCCCGCTACAGTGACAGTGGGATAATGAGGTGCATGGGGCGTGGACTTCATCAGGCAGTAGAGTACATGGCGTACACAGATTCGGCGAAGCAGGGAGTGTCGTCGCCTCCGGTTGCTATGGCCGTGGAAGATGACGACGAGGTGATGCGGACTGGCGACCGCCGTGGAAGTGCAGAACCCTCCCTGGGGGAAGGTTCATCCACTCACCATAGAGAGGTCTCGCCAGCCCTGAGTCTGTTGCCGGAGAGTACTCCCCCATTGNTGCGGACTGGCGACCGCCGTGGAAGTGCAGAACCCTCCCTGGGGGAAGGTTCATCCACTCACCATAGAGAGGTCTCGCCAGCCCTGAGTCCGTTACCGGAGAGTACTCCCCCATTACGGTATCCTGGGAAGAGGAGAGCGCCATTGGACGAGGAGGGTGACAGTGATGATGAGGCCACGTTCGACGTCGGCCTCAATCACGTTGTGGCTCTCGCTAGAACGGCGGAAGTCGAGGGGAGCCTGATGAACGAGGTCCCGGGTACCCACCTGGAGTACCTCGTTCAGCAGATCTCCCTTTCGTGCCAGGCCCTCAGTGAACTGAGGGGTTCGGTACGGCCATCCCGCAAGAGGAGGCACGACCAGTTGGAGGAGGCGACTACCACGTCGTCGTCGATGATCGAGAGCATAGGCGCGCAAGTGGCCGTGCTACGGGGGGTCATTGACAAGCGACGTGGTATGGGTGTGCACAGAGAGGTGCAAACCGCGACAAAGTGCTTGGAGGATATCCTGGAGAGGGAGAAACGCGGAAGAGCGTCTCCGACGTCCAGGAACCCTCTTGAAGCAGAGGTAGGAAACAAACCTCGGGCGCCGGAAATTGCGCCCGTTGTTTTGACTAAGGAAGTCGGGACACAAACCGCCGTCGTCGTGGACCCGCCGGCCACTACGCCGAAGGAAGCCGACGAGGCGGTAAAGGGAAAAAGGAAGAGGAAGAAGAAGCGGTCTACTGCCCCATGCCCTGCCTCCGATCCAGCCATCTTGCCTACCCAAAGGCAGACTGATGTGATGGAGGCGAGTCGGGCAAACTTCGAAGGGTCTGTAGAAGGGGATGCGGGAGTTGCTCCCGCTGAACCGCTATGGACCCAAGTAGTAGGAAGGAAGGCTGTGGTGAAGAGGAGGGAGGATGCGGCATCCAAGCCCAAACCCCCACCCACGGCGAGCAACCAAAAGGCAGCAAAACTGCGGTCGAAAGTGCCGCGAACAGAGGCCGTGGTGATCGGCCCTCTTAGGGAAGGTCAAAAGTACGCCACGGTGATGGGCGCAGCCATGGCTGCGGTTGATCTTCAGGCCCTGGGCATCCATGTGTCCGGGACCCGGAGAACTAAGACGGGGGCTGTCCTCTTGGAGGTCCGAGGGTCAGCTGAGCAAGCTGACCTTCTGGCGACCAGATTGAGGGCAGCCCTGCAGGAGATGGACGTGCGAGTGCACCGTCCCTCAATGACCTGCACCGTCCTCCTCCTAGACGTGGAGGAGTGGCAGGATGAACAGGATGTGCACAAAGCACTGAGCGCCGCCCTGAATTCTCCGAATGGAGAATTGCCGCCGAATGCAGGACCTATTACGGTCCGCACGAACGTCGGCGGTAAAGGGCGGTATGCGAGGTGCGAGGTGCCCCTCAAGATGGCTCATCGCCTGGCAGCCATGGGCCGAGTCCGGGTTGGGTGGACTACCTGTAGGCTGAGGATACTTGATAAAGGTCCTCAGTGCTACAGGTGTCTGGAACGTGGGCATATTGCCCACGCATGTAAGGGGCCGGACCGGTCAAAGGCTTGCTTCAGGTGCAAGAAGGAGGGGCACCTTTCCAAAGACTGCCCAAATAATGGAAAGAAAAAAGAAGGTCAGGTATCAAACCTGACCAAGAAGAAGAAGGAAGACGGCCTACCCCCACCTCCAAGTGGTCCAACCCGGGCAACGGACCCTCTAGTAGGGTCCGGCTAACGGGGGAGGCTACGCCGTGCTGGGATTCGGCTCTGGTGTAAACTTGGGCCGTATCTCAGCGCGGTGGTAAGAAGATGAAGGCGACGTGGGTCGCCCCGAAGCAATGCCTCACGGCAGTTCCGGGGCGGTCCACATGAGGTCGAAAGGGAGGAGGAAAAAAAAAAAAAAAA